GTTTTAAAATGCGCATAGATTGATTTTAATTGCATTTTAAATACTGTTTTGCTAATTATCTTGTATTTCTAATTATTTTAAGTGTATGTGCTAATTATTGCTGCAACTCAACATTGACTTTAGTAAATCTAATCGTCTTGTTTTACTAAATTAGGAGACTTGTCGCAAGCTTTTTTTGTTTCTTTAATAATAAAAAACATTAATTACTACACTCGACTTTATTAATTATATTTAGATTTACTAATTGTTGATAATTTTCTGTCAATTAAACATTAAATTAAGCTAAAACATTAATTCAATGCACTTGACTTTATTTTTATTTCAACGGTCAAATAAACTATTGTTTACAGTAACGTATGTTCCCAAAACTCAACAAACATTACCAGATAATTTCCGACGCTATATCGTGAGATTACCAAACATCGTTTGTAAAGTTAACATATGTATTTTATTACCATGTAAACCTCTGGCCGATCGAATTTTTGAAATGGATGTTCTCATTAATATCACTTTAAATGTTGTTCGTGGACAAGATGATGGAAATACAGTCGTTCATTTCCGCGTACCGCGCAAATCAGAACTAGTGCTCCCTTTTAAAATCATGGTGTGCAATCTTAGCTATAAACACGGTGTGTAATCTTAACCATAAATATTTTGTGCATTCTTAACCATAAATATAGTGTGCATTCTTAACCCTAAACATGGTGTGCAACCTTAACCATAAACGTGTAGGCTATTCTAGTTTGGTCCGGCTTTGAGCTCGCATTGGAGAATCCATGATGTTGGTGTAAAATGTGATACATATAAAAATAGCAAATCATTAAAAAACTCACCAGCAATGTGTCATTGTTTTATCTTGTGTTGTTTATCAACTAGTCAGGTTTGATCTTGTGTTGTGTATTAACTTGTCAGGTTTGATCTTGTGTTGTGTATCAACTAGTCAGGTTTGAACTTGTGTTGTGTATCAACTAGTCAGGTTCGATTTGGTGTTGTGTATCAACTAGTCAGGTTTGATCGTGAGTAGTTAGGTTTCCCATGCTCTCGGAGTTGTTATGAGCAAGAGAATCAGTAAAACGTGCTTACAAATGTAAATTGCCGACATTATATTTTGAATTGTTATTAAATGTAATGATGGTATAAAAGAAAACTCTTAGGTTAATTAATATTTTAAGAACATAAGATGATAAATATTGTTGGTTTTGCAATGTTTAATTTAAATATCATAATAATAACTTAATTTAATGTAACATATCTTTTCATTGAAAGGTGATAGGTAGACAGTCATAACAAATTGCGATTAAAGAATAGAACGCCAACATTTTGCACGGTTTAAGATTTTACTTAATAAACTCAACAAAACTAATATGATAATGCATTAGGGTAACGAACTAACGATATCACTACGATAAAAAAATGCTTAAGATTTAATGTTGCATTAGAATGTGCCAAGAAGTAATCTCATTTGTAAAATATCACATTAAACACACCCACTCTGATATGTAATTGGAGTAACGACTTAAAACGCCATGAAAGAATATACCATTAAGTCACATGTCTGAACTCTAGAAAATCAATGATATCTAAATATTTACATATAAGACAAACGCATCATAGATTCCCGTAACTGCAGCATGCTCTTCAGCAGCAATTTTGATCCACTTTCCTCTTTTTTTATAACTTTCTAAGTCTCGTCTTTCACACCGGTTTTCATGTTTCTGTAGGCTTGTCCAATTGTAATTCAGACATAATCAGTCTCCTTTCTGCTTCCCGTTGTCGCATTTGTTTCCTTATTTCAGATCTTGCATCGGAAATCTTTAATTGTGAAGATACCATTTTTCTAATAATAGTCCCTGAAAATTCTTCCTGTTTTTCCAGTGTGTCATGCACGGATGTAGTTAGACTCAGCATCCTGTTGCGTAGGATTACGTCTACTGTATCAACAGAGTTTGGTGTGTCTTGTCTTGGATGAACATTTGGGATCGCTGGTTGCACGGTCTTGACGGTTATTCGAGGTTGTCCAGCTTCGGTGATGCGGTCTTTAGTTTTCTGGACATTCTTATAATTTGCTTCTGTATATCGTCGATCACGAAACACCAACACATCGACTATTTCAATCAACTGGTCGATTTGTTCAATTATTTGCAACTCGTCTTTGGTTTTGTTGTCAAACAATAAATATTAATTACACATGTGAGTAGAGTTTATGTTGCATTAATTTTCTGAACAGTTTTGAACACTGGGGGGGGGGGGGGGGTAAATGCTTCAACAATCAAATACCAATAGAAAATCCATTCAAACGTTTTATCTGTAATTGTACGTCAAAGAGTGGACAATTTTACCAACATATGCACGATGGATACTTTGCTATACACCTGCATGCAATTTTAAAACGTTACACTTTCTCCGGCAAAATTCGACCGTTACCATCGTTACGACTTATTGCGATTTTTTTCTCTCCTTGAAATAAACATTGATTATGATCGTGTAATTAATTTAACAATTTATTTTGCGAATAGTTAAAACTTTATCTACAACTTTACATTTACTAACGTATATTTACTTGAGTACTAACAGTTTATGTGGTCTATGTACTCACAACACCAAGATGGTAGGACTAGGTAAACCTTAGTCGTAAATTCGATCAAAACTAGTAATGTGGGCGAGAGAGAATTAATGAATATGGCTTTAAATATGAGTATATTTGTAATGATTAAAGGTGGGGAAGAGGGGGTGGAAATCGACCACAGAGCTATATAAAAAATCCGAATATTCTTATATAAAATAACAGGGGATGGGAACTCGGGCTATAGACATGATTTTTAATCGATTTTAATTACTTAAAGTTTTTAAAATAGAACAAAATCTCGTAGACAAAAGAATTGCACACCAAGTGAACACCAAATACAAAAGTGCATAATAGTGCGCAATATTATTAGTACTTTATAAATTCTCATGCGGTTTATTGAGAAATCGGGAATAGCTTAAATTAGTACTTCTGGTCAACGAAAAATTTTCAAAATTTGACAGAAGCTAGAGAATTAGATGTTTTACTTACATTTAAATTTTTTTTATCTATCTGAAATAGTACTCAAGTTATAGACTTTTGAAAAATTCAAAGTAGAAAAAGTACCACTTCCGGTTATTGGAAATCGCTCAAAAGTTAATAAGGATCTACTATTTTGATAAAATACTTATATATGAAATTTCATCAACCTAGCTGTAACGGTACTCAAGTTATCGTGTTTACGGACACACAGACAGACAGATAGACAGAGACAGACAGACACACAAACATACGGACAAGATTGCAAAAATATGTTTTTCCGTATCAGTGAGGTGTAAAACGTCGAGATTAGATGTGTAAAAATCTCGATTTTTTTTTTTTTGCACGATTACAAGACTTTCTCTATACTTCGTATATACGAGAAAGTAAAAAAACGAATGAAAGCTGAAAGCAAACGAAGCGGTTACAGAAAACTGTAGTATTCAAATAATTAAGGATGTTTTGATACTAAAAGCCAACCATTTAGCCTTTAGTTAGGCCTAAATGTATTACAAATGAATGACGTCATTCTTTTGCAGCGTGTCACAACAATCCCTATTTTTCAACACACGAAAAAACTTGACTTCTCAAAAATCACATCGCTGAGTTGTACTCAACCTCTTCCCACCACAAATCACAATTTCTATCTAAAACAATATGTTCATCATTATATTTGTTCTGTAATAGTGCACGCTGTCATAACCCTGGATAAGCGACGTCATTTATGGGCGATCTAATATTGGTTGAATTACTGCATAAAGTGTTCAAAAGTTCGACCTCCCAACAATCGTTGTCGTCTTGTATGGACAGTAATAAGTCTGAAAAGGTCTATTAGCCATTTATTTCAACTATATTGAAAAATAAAGAAAACTTACTATACAGCCTTATATTAAAACAATACAAAACAACCATATTAAACCACAAAATCAACACAACAGTAGACAATTTCTTAAATGGAAACTTCTCTATTATTTTTGGAACATGGCCTCTGCTCGTATTTACTCAGTGTTGTCTCGAACAGGGTGGTTTAAAGTTGATTCCAGGATACTTTTGACTGGTTACAACCAGTGGCGTAGCCAGGATCGTCTCAAGGGGGGGGGGGGGTTCCAATTTTTACCCGGGGACAAACTTTCGATTTGCACCCCCCCCCCCTCAAACTTTCGATTTGCACCCCCCTCAAACTTTCGATTTGCACACCCCCACCCCCCTCAAACTTTCGATTTGCACCCCCCCTCAAACTTTCGATTTGAACCCCACCCCTCAAACTTTCGATTTGCACCCCCCCTCAAACTTTCGATTTGCACCCCCCCCCCCCTCAAACTTTCGATTTGCACCCCCCCCCCCCTCAAACTTTCGATTTGCACCCCCCCCCCCTCAAACTATCGATTTGCACCCCCCCTCAAACTTTTTATATATATACCGAGGGGTCTATGGGGGATATGACCCCGCCCCCTAACCCCCCCCCCCCCCCCTTCCTACGCCACTGGTTACAACCATCGCACATTACTAGCTTCGTTGGAATTTACTAAGGTAAATTAATAAGGTTTTACCTAGGACTATATTGATGTCATCACCCACACATATTTTAGTACTATATATTTGATGTACTTGCAAAAGCCCATATAGTAGGTCTATGTGTTCGACTTAATACCCCCCCCCCCTACAGAAAAACTCTGAACGGAACTGATTTTTTTAAAATGGTGAATTAGGAAAATAAACATTTTCTTTACAATATTTAAGAAAGTAAAATAAGTTAATTTGTTTTTTGCAAACAGGCAACTATTTTAATTATAACATGAGAAAAATAACTCCGCCGCCTTAACAACACATGCGTTACAAAGCTCATAAGTGGCACACACTGGAGTTCTCACCTGAACTTAAGACAATCGCTGACTTAAGTCAACTGAACTTAAGACATTCGCTGACTAAGTCACCTGAACTTAAGACAGTTGCTGACTTAAGTTTATCTGTGCATTCTCCACCTGCTTCAGTCCTTCCTGTACCTGTTTCAGGCTTTAAGAAAGATTATTTTTGAGGTCAAACGTTTCCCCTCCTTGCTGTGCTTGTCCTGCCGAGTCCATTACTCTGGGAATCGTTTGACGTCTGCGCTCCGAGTCTCGCCACTCTTGCACCAGATCTTCAAATCTCTTCTGATCATTGCGTTCTATTTCCCTCCTTTGCTGCTCATCGCCTGTTGAGTCGTCAATTTGATTTTCATAATCCTCCCTTTGAATTTTCAGCTCATTATCGAAGACCTGTTTCATTTCTTCTTCCTGTTGTCGACTTTGTTGTATTTCTTCAATACATCTGCGAGAGATAGCGTTTTCATCAGAAACCTGTTTTTGTAGAGATTCCAAGTTTTGAGTCAGGTCTTGAAGAGTACCAGAAAATTCTACCTGCTTGGCCGGTAAGACCTGGACAGTATTAGTTTGACTCCACATCTTGTCAAGTGTGACTAAGTCTACTGTCTCCTGTTCCAATACCTCTGCTGTCTCTCGATAATCGCCATCTTTGTCTCGCATTCTCTGCTCCATTTCTTCAAACTTTTTCTGGAAATTCTCTTCGATTTCTTGTTGTTTTTTCTTAATAAGTTCGAGTTCTTTAATCAGATTTTCGTCTTCCTCACTTTTATCTTTCAGCACGAATGCCGATTTGGGTGGAGAATCTGGGCAGTCAAGTGGTGAATACGTGACTGGCATACTTTGACAAATACAATTTTCACGTGAAACCAAGTCTTCATTCTGAATACGGCTGTTTGTGACTTGTGTCAGCTCGACTTCTGGTCTAGTTTCTACCTCATCTTGGAACATATTTTGGATCGGGTTTGGGATGATGTTGTTTTTAGTTTTCTGAACTCTTTCAAAGCTCTTGTTGGTATAGCGGCGATCGCTTAGCAACTCATCGACTTTATTTATTAATGCGTCGATTTGTTCCGCTATAACCTGTTCGACCTGAGTGCTGTTGTCGAATAAGATGAGCCTATTGTCACATTCTTCTAGCAACTCTTTAAAAGCGCCGTCTTGTTTTTCGCACCATTGGGGGAAGGTCGTTCTCTTGTCAATGGTTCCACGCTGTTCTTCCTTGAAAATATCCCCGCATGTCATAATTAAAATACCGTAATTGCGTAGGAAATTTTCTCCAAGGACGTTTTTTTAAGGCATCAACTGCGTCCTTTTCTTCACGAGTGAATCTGTTCCCATATTTGAGGACCAGAAGAAAAGCGTGATAGCCTTCAGGATTGGCTGCCAGAGCCAACTTAGCGGCCTCAGTCAACTGCTCAACTGACTGTTCTCTGTCCAGCCTGGTGTCACAAACTGTCAGACCGTCCACGACTTTTAACGGACGATCGTTGTGTTCTGTAGTCTCGCTGTAGAATTGTTTGGTTAACGAAGACGTAGTTGACCCGCTTTCGAACGTCCATTCTCTTACTATTGTGTTTCCAGTCGCACTTTCGCCGTTTCCGGTTTTTCCAATCAGTAGCAGATCAATCCTAGGTGGTATACACTTGGAAAAAAAAAGAAGTTCATGTTGCATACACATTTGGTATAATAACATGTTACACAACAAAGTATACACAGTGTCACTTCCCACTAAAGAGTCGATTAATGACTTAATTGCTGTAAGGGCTTCATAATAATTACGGAAGAAATGGGTTAGAGTGTATCGACTTGAATATGTTTGTTGATATAGAATATGTGTGGTGTGTGTATGGGCAGAATAAAGTAGTTGACAAGACGAGGGTGGGTAGGTGGTGATTAGATAACAAGCATCAATTTTAATTTTGACGCTAGGCAAAAATAACAAGGAAATAATTTAGTATTAACGGTAGACCTTGATGATAGACGAATCAGTTATGTTTTTTTAAATTCTCCTCAAATATGGTTTGTATAACCATAGACTTGAGTAAAGTTATTGAACACACCAAAATAAGCCAATTCAGTCCACATTTGTAGTAGTCTAGTTGCAGAAATTGTTAATATATTAACATAAAGATCAGCCGCCCCCCCCCCTCCCCTTCCTCTATATCTCTTACCCTCGATTACATCTTACAGACTGTCTACTCTATAAAGTGTGTAGTTTGAAATTAATTATTAATAAACAATTTATTTCAATATGCAAAGAAATTAATGCTGAAAGTACTGAACGTCTCAACGTTGTTAAAATCCATCGTAATTAAAATCTAATGTTATTAAAATTTAACGCTTTTAAAATCTAACGTTATTAAAATCTAAAGTTATTAAAATCTAACGTTATTAAAATCTAAAGTTATTAAAATCTAACGCTATTAAAATCTAACGTTTTTAAAATCTAACGTTATTAAAATCTAAAGTTATTAAAATCTAACGTTATTAAAATCTAACGTTATTAAAATCTAAAGTTATTAAAATCTAACGCTATTAAAATCTAACGTTATTAAAATCTATGGTTATTAAAATCTAACGTTATTAAAATCTAACGTTATTAAAATCTAACGTTATTAAAATCTAACGTTATTAAAATCTAACGTTATTAAAAATCCAACGGTATTAAAATCTAACGTTATTAAAATTTTATGTTATTAAAATTCTACGTTATTAAATTCTAATCCAACATCGGCTGTTTCTGGAGAACAGCATGGTCTAGCTGTAGAACAGCATGGTCTAACTGTAGAACGAAAACCACATGCTCGGATAGCGGGGTCGAGGCAGTAGGTCGTCTACTGACCAAGGTCCACCCAGTAGGTCGTCTACTGACCAAGGTCCACCCAGTAGGTCGTCTACTGACCAAGGTCCACCCAGTAGGTCGTCTACTGACCAAGGTCCACCCAGTAGGTCCTCTACTGACCAAGGTCCACCCAGTAGGTCGTCTACTTACCAAGGTCCACCCAGTAGGTCGTCTACTGACCAAGGTCCACCCAGTAGGTCGTCTACTGACCAAGGTCCACCCAGTAGGTCCTCTACTGACCAAGGTCCACCCAGTAGGTCCTCTACTGACCAAGGTCCACCCAGTAGGTCGTCTACTGACCAAGGTCCACCCAGTAGGTCGTCTACTAACCAAGGTCCACCACTAAACTAAAAAAGGCAGTGCGAAGTACTGATGGAGGAAACATTAGCTTGTGGGGAACTTATGCTTTAAGCGGTTGGGAAGAAATGATCGTCGTTTAAAGTTCAGGGTAATACATTTTAATAACGTTTTTTTTTACTATATTATAGCTATACTAAAGTTCAGGGTAATATTGGAAACGTTTTATTTACTATATTATAGCTATACTTAGGTTCAGGATAAAAATGGGAACGTTTTATTTACTATATTTTAGCAAATAGGAATAGCACAATGTTTTCACTCCTGCAAAATCTTTATCTCCGGAGATAATGGTTTTAAAAAACACGATCAGTAACTTGCGATCTCTAAATGACAGTTATCTACACATTCTTACATTCTTACGTGGGTGCCTCTCAAGCAAAAAACGAAACAGTTCTCCGTCGTCAAACAATTGATACTTTATAATCTTTCAATGTACACTTTTATCTAATTTAAGGATCATTAATTATATATGATTATAAATGACTAATCAAATGTGTAGTAGACTCAACATGTGAAATTATTTCAGTGTCATCGGAAACTAATGTATTTGGAAAGTTACAAAATCGTAGAGTTAAAAAGAGTTCCAAATTGAGTTACTAGATTTCCTAAAAATCCTGTAAAATAATATTTGAGCCACCCGTACCATACTTAAATGTAGTGTAAGTATATCACTTTACAAGCTATTCTACAAAACAGCAAACTAAATCCTATCATACGAGCTCTTATACAGACTCACCCTTAGGTTATCTTCGTGCCTTACAGTATATGGCCTGCTAGTTATTGTCTTGCCGCCTTATATGTATGTGGAAGAAGGGGCATTATATATATATATATATATATATATATATATATATATATATATATTATATATATATATATATATATATATATATATATATATATATATATATATATTTTTTTTTTAATTAAATAATTTATTTATTTTTTTATTTATATATAACTATAACAACACAAATGTAAATAAAGAAAACATTAGGATATAAAAAAATTACTTTAAAACTTAATTATTAGTCATTATTTATACATTTTAGTTATTTGAAATATACTATTTGCTTCTTTCAAAAAATTACGTTCCATGGGAAAAAAGATTGTTGCAATGGAAAATGAAAATGCGTTCAAATTCACTAATATAGCATTAATTTAAGTAAAATCAACATCGATGAAAACTTTCATAATTTTTGTCGAACAAAAACTTAAAATCAAAATAAATTAGTTTAAAAATAAAATTGCAAAATCTAGGTTCCAGCAATATTATAATTTTTTTTTATAGCAAACGCTTAACTAATTATCTAATTGAAAAAAGTTAATGAATTTGTGCGGGAATTAATTACAAACCCATTAAATGCAGTGGTCAAGAAACAAAGAGGAATTTTACTTCTGTTGGTGTTTTGAAAGTAAAATCTATATAAATCAACTTGTATTTTTAAAAAATAATATGTGAAATTTAGATTCAATACTAGCTTGCCCGTCCCTATGTTATCCAGGGCGCCAAATCGCACCCTGCCGTGATGCCGCCCGTGCGAAATTGAATTCTTTTTTCCCTCAGAAACCTTCCCAGTAGTATCCTTAACAACTTCCCAAAGTTTTATGGCGATCAGATAAAAGGTGTTGCAATGCATAAAAGACAAAATCAAAATCTGAAGAAATATATTAGAAGGGTTTTATCAATGGTTTACCAATCCTATATTTTAGACGCGTGACCTTGTTTTCCAAAACTGAGTTATTTAAATGTAAACACTGGCTCCGTTTGGGTCATATTTATAAGGGTACGGGGTTCCTACACAACTGCCCAAAAAAGCCCGGGTTGCCAAATCGTACTCTGCCGGGGCGCAAGCGGACGCGCTTGATTATGTATAGTGAACGACTTTAAAA